ACTCTTTGGGAAATTAAAAATATTTTAGCAGACTCTGTAAGTTTACTAGCAGACTGCTTACGTAACCATTTTAAATTATTTTTTATTATATTAAAATAAAGGGGGACTCTTTGAAACTCCAAATATATAATATATGATGGAATCCATCTCTTTAGAGAATATAAACGCTTAATAAAATTAATTTGTATATTATCATCTTTATCTCTCCAATCAAAGCCCCAAATTTCGGATCCATATAACACTACTGATTGAATAAATGACTCAAATAATTTTAATTTATCTTTCCAATATACCAATCTACCAGATACACAAGCTTTAATAATCTTATCATTTCCAAAGGTCACTTTACTGTGAATATACTTTAATTGTTTTAAAAAAACGCCTATTAGACTGGAAAACTACACCCAGATACTTGTACTCATCAACAACGTCTATTTTGCGATTTTGTAAAAACCAATTCTCATTCTTAGAATGTTTTCCTCCATTTCGGAATACCATTATTTTAGATTTGTCAATGTTAACAGACAGTTTTAACTCCTGTAGTGTGTGTCCTAAAAAGTCAATCATTCTCTGTAGACCTATAGGCGAATCTGCCATAACAACCAAGTCATCTGCATATGTCAAAATTTTCACCTCCGTTCCTAAAAGTCAATGCCCACCAAATTAGAGTCATTCAGTTTACTTACAAGTGGATACAAATATAAATTGAACAATATTGGGCTCAATACACAACCCTGTTTCACACCTTTTAACGTGAAAAAAAGATCAGTTGTACCTTCCTTAGTAGACACGCACGCCTCTGTATTAGTATACAACTGAATCAAAAAGTTTACAAATTTATAACTCAACCCAATCTTCAGAAGTTGACTCCATAAAAGATCTCTATCCAACGAATCAAATGCCGCCCTCAAATCAACGAAGAAAGCGTAAAATTTACCTCTTTTCTTCCTTAAAGACTTCTGTATTAAAGCATGTAAAACAAAAATATTATCCAATGTCAAAAAACCAGCCCGGAAACCAGCCTGGAAATCAGAAAGTATCTCAAACTTATTCAGCCAAGATATCAAACGCATACATAAAATTTTACAGAAAACTTTAGATATTGTCAGTAGTAACGAAATTGCTCTATAATTTTCAGGTAAATCTCTAAGACTCTTTTTAAATATTGGAATGATCTTACATATGCGCCAGTCTAAAGGAATCATCCCTAATTGATAAACATTGTTAAACAGACCTACCATATATCCACTCAGATCTGGGAAATTCTTATATAGTTCCACCGGTATCCCATCAATACCTGGAGCAGTACCATTTTTCATAGAAGCTAGAGTCTTTTTGACTTCCTGTTCTGTTATCTCCGTATCCAACAGCTCGTCCTGCCAATTCATACACCAATTATATATAGACATATCCGGTAAATATTTACTAGAATGAAATTTCTTTGAAAAAAAAGCTACCCAATCAAGATCTGGAAGCTCCCTGTATCTACTCTTAACAAAGAAATTAATAAATCGCCAGAACTGCTTACTATCACCAGACGCCAAGTTCTTATTGATCTTCTGCAAAAAAAGCTTTTTCTTAGCTCTACATAAATTGCGAGTCACATTATGTTCTTTAACAAAATTCTTAACAGCATCACTATCTCCACACTTTGATCGTCTCATCCTATTCAATGCCTGATTTCTTCTTGCAATACTTAACTTACAATCCATATTAAACCACACAAAATTGGAAGATCCAATTGACCTTTGACACCAGTCTGAAAATGAAGATTTAATTAAATGAGTTAAACCTTCCAACGTTAATACTGACTGACCCTGAATCGCACATAACAGTTCCCTATACTTATAATTTATCTTCTCACTACCTTCTTCCCTCCAAAAAATTCTCTGACTCTTACTCTTATACTTCTTAAATGATTTCCGAATTTCCTTCTTAGATTTGCAATCTAAGACTACACTTATCGGAAAATGATTACTATACACTTTGTCTAATACAGAAAAACTTGTTACAATAGATAATCTATTTAACTTAACTAAAGCCAAATCAATTACAGAGGAGCCTATATCACTCACATATGTGTAATAACCTTTAGATATAGATGAGCCTCTACCATTTAAAACAATATATCCCGCCTCTTCACAAAAATCTAACATCAATTTTCCACGATTATTTAATACTGTATCTTTTGATAACCTCAACATCCAATCCTGATCAATATTCTCATAACTATCATAAATCCATTCCTGCAGTTCTATTCCAATGCGAGCATTAAAATCACCAATTAAAAAGTCTATCTTATAACAATTAACCAACCTAACTACCTCTGTCCAAATAGTATTCCATAATACAGGTCTTATATACATAAAACAGAAAGAAATTACTATAGGCCCTATAGACAATTCCACAACAATCCAATGCCTATCTTTTTCCAAGATATTTACTTTCCAAGAGTTAGACAATAACAACAACCAGCCACCAATACAGCGACCTCTATCAGCCTCTCGATAACCTGCCTCCGAAAAAACAGAAAATTTATCCATATTTTGCAAATCGGGAATAGCAGACCTGCCATCCCACCACGTTTCCATTAAAAAAATTATATCAAAAGTATACAAAAAATTCCAAAAAGAGATAGGCTTATTTACAATACCTTCACAATTCCATGAAAGTACCGACGTACCTATTCCCAGTCAAGTTGACATTTGTTCTTCCATTTTCTTAGAAACTATATTATATTTATAAATTTTATTATCAACTTTAACCGCATTTCTATTATTTAAATAAGTAATTGAAGCACCCAATCTCTTTTTTTCTCTTGCGAAATCATTCATTATTTTCCTTATGTCTCTAGTTAAAGGAGGAAGGTCATCCATTATAAATATCCTCGTTCCTTTTAATTTAAATGCCGCTCTTTTAATCTTACATTTATCACCATAGTCAAAAAAACTACAGTAAATCAACCTAATACTATCTTTCCGTTGTTGACCCAATCTATAGCACTGCTCTAAACGAACATTATCAACACTTAATTTATTTTGAAAAAATTCCAATACTACATCTTTAACTTGTAAGTTATCATCTTCCGACTCAGGCAAACCAAAAATTATTAAATTATTACGCCTTAAAAAACACTCAAACCGCTCCTGACTTAATGTAAACTCGGCCATTTTGTTTTCCAAATCTATTCTATCGTCCGATAGAATCTTACCGGTATCGTATGTAAATTTTTTCTCTAAATCTTCTAATCTAGTTTCTATATTAACAATAGCTTCGTCCAAATTTTCTACCCAGGAGTAGATTCTATCAATCCTAGCAATCATTCCTTCCAATTTCTTATTCTGCTTTAAATTTAGCTGAATAAGTAACGATATCCCATCCTTAATATCAAATTCTCCTTGAAGTAACTCCAAGATACTCGTCTCCTCCAATGGGTCAGAATGAAAAATCTTAGATCTACTATCCGACTGACTTACAGGTGAATAAGTCTTCCTTTTAGACATGACGAAACAAACCAGTGAGCTTACTTAAATAGTTAATTTACACCTCCTGGTGGTAAGCATCTGCAAAAGAGTAAACAATTATTTAAAATACACCCAAAAGCGCCGACCATAAATGCTGCCCTATATGTTATATAAATACTTGCCGCTAGGGTAGCGTGCGAGTAACTTGCACTTGGGGTCTATATTGTGGTGTGACGGGTTAATGGAAACCATATTATGCAAATAATACACCATGTATTAACACCAATTTCAATTAATGATAAAGGAAATTATTTATTTACAGTTAACATACAAATTATTCAAAATACATGAACTTGAAATCATTTGTAATATTACAAGTTAACCGTTTTGGAGTACAAAATTCTAAACCGTTCCCTTTTTTTTCTTTTTAGTTTACAAAGCTCATATATCCGGTTACACGTGCGGGTCCCAAAACCGGCCAGTACACAATTCGTTAGGATCGTATTATAATACTTATTATAACTAACTTAAAATAAAGACTAATATAACCTAGGTTAGATAAAGAATACAGAAAGGTCATGTTAGAAAGAAATCCTTTATTTGTACAACAAGTTGGGCAATTTTTCGACGTCTACCACGATGAATTTAGCATATACTACCTGACTGCACGGACACATTTCCTTATCTCACGTGGTTCTCCCCTCGCTTGCTTCTCCAAGAATGAACAAAGAAGACCAGTCTTTCTATGCTGCCTTGTTAGTCGATACCCATTTCGGCCCAAAACTAGCCAGAAGGTACATATAGGTTGGAAGAGTTAAAAAAGGAAAAATTGTGCGGGTTATTTACGTAGATGGAGAAGTTACAGATAACTTAGAATATTAGCGAATAAAACATATATATACATGGTGGGATACACCACAATATCATACGGAGTTATGTAATATGATAAATCGGTAAAACTTTACCTAGGTGGACCCGATGGTCGCACTTCCGGAATCTCAACTACGGGTGCGAGATGAAGTACGATCAAAATAATATATTAATATGCAATATTTTGAGTTTGAGATTAAATGCTACTAATGTATCTTAGTGAAATTTTATAATAGTGTTAATTAATTTTGAAATTTTTTTATTTTTATAGAATTTAAAATTATAATTAATAGAAATTGTTTTAATATTTTTATAACAAAAATGTCAGAAGTTGAGAAAATTTCCGAAGAATTTTGGAGAAAGTGCACTTCTAGAGATTTTTTTCGCATGATGGACTCGGAATTTGAAGAAATAGACATTGATCAGAGAATAGCATCAGATTTTAAGTTTGCCGTTAAGCTTGGTGTGCAACCGATAGAAGCCATCTGTAGTAATTGCTCATTTCGCAGGAAATTATTTTACACAGAACATGATAATTCTGTATGTTTTAGATGTAACGAATGCAAAACGAATAGTTCGCCATTTGACGGTACATTCAAGGGCAAATTCGGGCATGTTTCGTGGGAGTGTATTTTTTCTTTTATATGGCATTTATTATGTATTGAGTGTTCTTTAACTAATACTTGTATGGCAGTTGGCATCAGTACATGTATTTCAATGGATTGGGCTAACTATGTGCGGCTTGTTATGAGGATTTCTGTAAGTAATATGTCAAACATTAAAGTTGGTGGTCCAGGAAAAATAGTTGAAATAGATGAAACTCTAATTATTAAAAGAAAAAACAAAGAAGGTCAGAATTTGAAAGAAACTCTTTGGGTTGTTAGAGGAGTATGTCGTCAAGATAATGCGTGCTTTGTATGCAAAGTGAATGACAGATGCGAACAATCTCTTAACTGGGTAATATCGAAATATGTAAATTCAGGAAGCACTGTCTGTATGGACGACTCGAAAGGAATAGATATTACGCATAAGAGCACGAAACATGCTGAAAATGTTGACCCAGAAACCGATGTGCATATTCAAACAATAAAACATTTGTGGCGTTGTTTAAAAAATAGAAAAAGTGTGCCCATGCATTTCACTAAAGATTTATCGGATTCTTACTTATATTTCTTTATGTATAAGAAGATGTTCAGATGGGAACGATTAAAACCTGGAGAACGTTTCGAATTATTTGCTAAGCATTTGAGTTGGATTTATCCCGGACCAGGTAACACCCCTATTTGGAAAGAGCCAGAAACTGTGCCTACAGCCCCAGAAATGGACACTGAGAAGAAAGATAATCATAAAAATGAGAATTTGGAAACGTCATCTAAAAATACAGTTAAATCGTCTTTAAAGAGAAAGGGTGAAGGTTGTAAAAGTTCAGAAGAAACATGTTCAATGTCCAAAGAAAAGAAGAAAGGGAATTAAAACTATGGAAAAAGTGAGTTGAATATTATCGTTTTTAATACAATTTAGTTTATTAATTGCACTATAATTTAGTGAGTTTTTGTAAATTTGATAGTTGTTGTCTTGTTTGTGGACGTGGCATTCACAAACAAGATGACGACTGGAAGTGTGGCCATCGGGTCTACATAGGTAAAAATTTACCTTGGGTTTGAATGATGACCCCTCGTAACTGCTGGCCAAATGGCCAAAACATTTAAGATGTCAGTGTACTGTACTGTAAGTCCAAGGATTGATTCCAAACAGATGGGAAAAATCCAGTAATTATTCAGGGAATGGTTCATTACAGATATATCAAGCCATATCCCTTACCATATGGCTTCCCATTGTGGGTCTGGCCAAACTTATAATGGGTGGGATAAAAGGCCCTTTTAGTGTCCATGGGCAGAGTCAAAAAGACCTGACTGTAGATAAATACTTTGACATGCAGCAATATTTTAAATGTTTCTAGTTTAATTTTTATAGATTATATATTATAAGCATTTTGTGATTTCCAATGTTTTGTTACATTTAAAAGTATTTTCACTCCTTAAATTATTGAGAAATTCAAGTTTTAATTTAGAAACTTTTTTCTGACAGACAGGCCTTTTCGCTGCAACATTTGCCAAAGAAGTTTTAAGTTGAAGGCAGATTTGGCAAGGCACGAGAGACTCCATTCCGACGACACTCCATTCTCTTGTAACATCTGCAAAATGAGGTTTAAACTGAAAACCTATTTAAACAGTCACATGACAATCCATTCTAAAGAGAGACCTTTTCAGTGTAATCTGTGTAAAATGGAATTTAAGAGGAAATCATATTTAATGAAACATCATAAAATGCACATCTTCAAGAAACCGTTTCAGTGTAATATATGTAAAATGGGTTTTAAGAGCAAATCGTGTTTAGTACGTCATTCAAAATTTCATTTCGGACAGAAAAATTGATTTTAAATCAAATAAAAAGTGATTTTGTAAATATTTTAAACAATTTATTTTGTGATGTGGATGGCAGATGTGGTTGAGATGTCAACCCACTGCGCTGGGGATTCTAAAGTCTAGATTTGAACTTCAAATTTTCATAGATAGTTTGGCCCAGATATATCATCCTCCGTTGCTAGTCTAGATACACTGGCTGTCCTCATTACATGGGAAACCCGTAATGGGCAAAAAAAGATCATCTTACTGCCTACAGAGTGGAAAGAGTCAAACGAAAAACGATTTAATTTATTTGCGGACATAAACAAATTTTATGTAGTATTTCATGAAAATTTATGGTGTCTACAAATCATTTTAATACTTTTGTTTGATATTTAATTTATTAAATAAAAGTTTGTATTTTATGTAATAATTCTTTGTAGTTTTATAGATTTTTTTTTAGTTTTGTTCATAAATTTGATTACCATTTCTGTTTTTCAAACCATGGTGATGATAAAACAGTTTAACCTTAATTATCATTGAAAATAATGAAATTGTAGCAATCGGCAACATCCGAAAAACTCGATGGATAATATTTAAAGTGACTTTGCAGTACAATATGCCGGGGTTAGAAGTAATTCGAGTTTGTACAATCCGTTGTAACAGTAGGACACTTCATACTGTGGTTATTTAGTTGATTAGTTGTAGACTATGATTCATTAGCTCTATTTTCAAATCAAGTATTCATAAATGTTCTCTAAAGCTTAACACTACATACTTTATGTTGCCATAAAAATAGATCCAATTTAACAGTTTTCTGATTACAGTCTGTAACAAAAGTATAAACACACCTTCTTTTTAAATTAAATTAAATTTATTACTTAACAATAAAAGTTTTATAAGATGATTTTATATTTTAAATTTTACNATAGATGAAACTCTAATTATTAAAAGAAAAAACAAAGAAGGTCAGAATTTGAAAGAAACTCTTTGGGTTGTTAGAGGAGTATGTCGTCAAGATAATGCGTGCTTTGTATGCAAAGTGAATGACAGATGCGAACGATCTCTTAACTGGGTAATATCGAAATATGTAAATTCAGAAAGCACTGTCTGTATGGACGACTCGAAAGGAATAGATATTACGCATAAGAGCACGAAACATGCTGAAAATGTCAACCCAGAAACCGATGTGCATATTCAAACAATAAAACGTTTGTGGCGTTGTTTAAAAAATAGAAAAAGTGTGCCCATGCATTTCACTAAAGATTTATCGGATTCTTACTTATATTTCTTTATGTATAAGAAGATGTTCAGATGGGAACGATTAAAACCTGGAGAACGTTTCGAATTATTTGCTAAGCATTTGAGTTGGATTTATCCCGGACCAGGTAACACCCCTATTTGGAAAGAGCCAGAAACTGTGCCTACAGCCCCAGAAATGGACACTGAGAAGAAAGATAATCATAAAAATGAGAATTTGGAAACGTCATCTAAAAATACAGTTAAATCGTCTTTAAAGAGAAAGGGTGAAGGTTGTAAAAGTTCAGAAGAAACATGTTCAATGTCCAAAGAAAAGAAGAAAGGGAATTAAAACTATGGAAAAAGTGAGTTGAATATTATCGTTTTTAATACAATTTAGTTTATTAATTGCACTATAATTTAGTGAGTTTTTGTAAATTTGATAGTTGTTGTCTTGTTTGTGGACGTGGCATTCACAAACAAGATGACGACTGGAAGTGTGGCCATCGGGTCTACATAGGTAAAAATTTACCTTGGGTTTGAATGATGACCCCTCGTAACTGCTGGCCAAATGGCCAAAACATTTAAGATGTCAGTGTACTGTACTGTAAGTCCAAGGATTGATTCCAAACAGATGGGAAAAATCCAGTAATTATTCAGGGAATGGTTCATTACAGATATATCAAGCCATATCCCTTACCATATGGCTTCCCATTGTGGGTCTGGCCAAACTTATAATGGGTGGGATAAAAGGCCCTTTTAGTGTCCATGGGCAGAGTCAAAAAGACCTGACTGTAGATAAATACTTTGACATGCAGCAATATTTTAAATGTTTCTAGTTTAATTTTTATAGATTATATATTATAAGCATTTTGTGATTTCCAATGTTTTGTTACATTTAAAAGTATTTTCACTCCTTAAATTATTGAGAAATTCAAGTTTTAATTTAGAAACTTTTTTCTGACAGACAGGCCTTTTCGCTGCAACATTTGCCAAAGAAGTTTTAAGTTGAAGGCAGATTTGGCAAGGCACGAGAGACTCCATTCCGACGACACTCCATTCTCTTGTAACATCTGCAAAATGAGGTTTAAACTGAAAACCTATTTAAACAGTCACATGACAATCCATTCTAAAGAGAGACCTTTTCAGTGTAATCTGTGTAAAATGGAATTTAAGAGGAAATCATATTTAATGAAACATCATAAAATGCACATCTTCAAGAAACCATTTCAGTGTAATATATGTAAAATGGGTTTTAAGAGCAAATCGTGTTTAGTACGTCATTCAAAATTTCATTTCGGACAGAAAAATTGATTTTAAATCAAATAAAAAGTGATTTTGTAAATATTTTAAACAATTTATTTTGTGATGTGGATGGCAGATGTGGTTGAGATGTCAACCCACTGCGCTGGGGATTCTAAAGTCTAGATTTGAACTTCAAATTTTCATAGATAGTTTGGCCCAGATATATCATCCTCCGTTGCTAGTCTAGATACACTGGCTGTCCTCATTACATGGGAAACCCGTAATGGGCAAAAAAAGATCATCTTACTGCCTACAGAGTGGAAAGAGTCAAACGAAAAACGATTTAATTTATTTGCGGACATAAACAAATTTTATGTAGTATTTCATGAAAATTTATGGTGTCTACAAATCATTTTAATACTTTTGTTTGATATTTAATTTATTAAATAAAAGTTTGTATTTTATGTAATAATTCTTTGTAGTTTTATAGATTTTTTTTTAGTTTTGTTCATAAATTTGATTACCATTTCTGTTTTTCAAACCATGGTGATGATAAAACAGTTTAACCTTAATTATCATTGAAAATAATGAAATTGTAGCAATCGGCAACATCCGAAAAACTCGATGGATAATATTTAAAGTGACTTTGCAGTACAATATGCCGGGGTTAGAAGTAATTCGAGTTTGTACAATCCGTTGTAACAGTAGGACACTTCATACTGTGGTTATTTAGTTGATTAGTTGTAGACTATGATTCATTAGCTCTATTTTCAAATCAAGTATTCATAAATGTTCTCTAAAGCTTAACACTACATACTTTATGTTGCCATAAAAATAGATCCAATTTAACAGTTTTCTGATTACAGTCTGTAACAAAAGTATAAACACACCTTCTTTTTAAATTAAATTAAATTTATTACTTAACAATAAAAGTTTTATAAGATGATTTTATATTTTAAATTTTACATGATTTATAGAACTATTTTAGATTTTGACTATAACAAAATTATAAACACAGTATTAATAGATAACAATTAAAAATTGTGTTAATATTTTGAAACTCCACCTTTTGATGAAATCAGTTGAAATATTTTATCCGGTGTGAGTTTACTAACTTTTTAATTTTTAGTTTATTTACAATGTTATATGGATTGTTTCCTCCACAGATGGCAAATGTTAGACAGCCACATAGATAGGAATCCCATCGAAAGTCTAGACTTCTAAATGGCCACTCGATTACCTTAATTCATTCTTTTCCAAGCCATTGTTTTGTCGATTTTGAGGTGTGTATGGAAGCATTGTCCTGTTACAATTTCCAGTTACTGCCACCAATTAATAGCCCAAATATAATTAAGTTGTCATAGAGCATCTTTTGATAATGTTCAAAGTTTATTCTACTGATAATAAAAACGTCGTCTTACCATCATATCCAAAACTGCATACATTATTATTGATGTTTCTTTGTGCTGACTACTCACTTTCACTTTTTCATTCTTTTTTAAGTCATGCCAGTAACTTNACACGTTGTTTTGCACGTGGAACTAACAAGGGAGGGTTTTCTGATGCGAGTCTTACATTTTAATAAAATATATATCATTCGAGAGAGGGGGAAATGAGATTCGTATTTTTACTTTTTTCACTGTTATATATAACAGAGGAAAGTATGCCGATCGGTCAAAGAATGATCCTTCAAGATTTTTACATTTTTCTACTCTGGGACCTGGAAGTTTCAAGAAACTCAAAGAAATTTGGGAATTTCCTGCATGTATGGATGTTAATGTGTGTGAGACACGATTCTGTTCACCCTGTTTGAAGCTCGTGTGCTTTTTCTCGAAAATTTTTGAAATTTTGCAGGGAGAGTTTTTATATCTCGGGAATCGATTAAATTAAATCTTGGTGGTTAAAGTTCGAGAAGGTTGGGAGATAATGGGATAGTGTGTATCTCCAGTACGGTCGGACCTAGTGACGATTTTACTCGTTATTAGCATTTNACATTCACTTTTTCTAAACATATTTCTTCTGTCATTGTCTTAACGGTAATCACAAGTAAAGAGTTAATTATTTCACAGAGAAATCTTTGTTTTTTCTTGAAACACGTTGTTTTGCACGTGGAACTAACAAGGGAGGGTTTTCTGATAAGAGTCTTACATTTTAATAAAATATATATCATTCGAGAGAGGGGGGAAATGAGATTCGTATTTTTACTTTTTCCAATGTTATATATAACAGAGGAAAGTATGCCGATCGGTCAAAGAATGATCCTTCAAGATTTTTACATTTTTGTACTCGGAGACCTGGAAATTTCAAGAAACGCAAAGAAATTTGGGGGTTTCCT